CTGCATAAAGTTTCCAAACAACCGCTGGTAAGTTTGAACCTCCGACCTTAGGGTTCAAACCTACTTTGCAGTCGATTGCTTACCCTCTGACATGACACCAAGAGTCCATCTGTATATACTCACATATACAAGGGGGCTTCAAAAAATTTGTTGAAAATGGAGTGAAAAGACAGATAATGGAATCTTTCTCTGAACTTTTGGAAACCCCTTCCTCTGTGTGTGTGTGTTTGTATAAATGTATTCAGACATATAGTTTTTTTTTTATTGTGATAAAATATGCACATCAAAACATTTGCCAACACAACAACTTTCACATTTACAATTAAATGGCACTGATGACATTTTTAATGTTGTGACACCATTGTTTCTATCCTTATCCAAACTATTCAGTCACCTTATATACAATTTATATATTATATATATATATATATATATATAATTTATATAAATTCACACTCACTGTCTGACTCACAGCAACCCTGAGGAACAGTCTAGAACTGATTTTGCCATCTCTCTCCCCTAAGAAGCAGCAGGTGAGTTTAAACTACCTAGTTAGCAGTCCAATGCTTAGCCCACAATGTCCCCCAAATAAAAACTCCCTCCATAAAATTTTCAATTTTCAATGACTAATTTTTCAAAAGCTGATTGCCAGATCTTTCTTCCTGAGGTGCCTCAAGGTGGGATACAATCTCCAAACTTTGGGATAGCAAAGGTGCTAATCTTTTGCACCACTTATTCTACTTCTGTGGAGGGTTATCTTTACTGGTGTCTCTACAGGACAGACTGGCGTCCTGGTGCAACGCTGTAGGATCAGCACTGGACAGCGAACCACAAGGTCGGCAGTTCAAACCCACCAGCTGCTCCTCGGAAACCCTACACAGGGTTGCTATGAGTCAGAACTGACTTGACGGCACTTCATAACAAGTACACATTGGCTACACTTTCTACACTGTGTCTGTCAACGTTGTTAGTATTTCAAATCTGATTGCTGCAGCTTCTCATCTTTACTTTAAAGTAAATGACTGATCTCATATAGGATTTCTTGTCAACTTTTTATTGTTTATTGAGTGAAGGTTTACAGAGCACATCATCAGTTTTAATCTCAAGAAATCACATACTGTGCTTCATTACAATGGTTCAATCCCTCTATGTTCCAATAGTTAGCATTTACCTCTATTCACTTCACATTGCATTCCTCCTTGTGTCTTCTTCTATCTTCATCTTTCCTCTGCTAACCTCTCTTGTATATTGCCTGCGTTACCAATATTAACATGTGTCTGCCCTCTAACCTGTGAATAAAGTTTCCTCCCCTTCACCACAACCACCCCACCACCCCCATAACCATCATACATAGTTTCTTTTATCAAAAACCTTCTCTGAACTCTTTACAACATTGGTCTTTTACATTTGTCCCTTTGTAAGAAAACAAACAAGCGAAAACAATTCCAAAGGAAATGACCTGGTCCTTCTCTCCTCCTTCCCACCCCAGGCTGAAGAGATGCCATGTCTCCAGCTCAGCCTGTGAGGACCTGGCGGTCGCCGTGACAACCAACAAGCATCTCATGAGGATGGATCTGAGCAGGAACAGTCTCGGGCTGCCAGGCATGAAACTGCTCTGTGCGGGCCTCCGGCACCCCAAATGCCGACTGCAGATGATTCAGTAAGTCTCCATCCCTGGAAACAAGTTATTTCAAACAAAAACAAAGTTTAATTTTTGGTGAAAATAGACCCAGCAGACCATGCACTCAATCGACAAGGAAATCTTTACGATGAAGTAATTAAACGCTTGGCTGCTCACCAAACAGTGGCGGTTCTAGAGACTTAGAACCCACTGCCTTCAAGTCAATTCCAATTCACAGCGATCCTGTAAGACCAAGAACTGCTCCATAGGATTTCCAAGACTGTGAATCTTTATAGGAACAGACTGCCACATCTTTCTCCCACGAGTGGCTGGTGGGTTTGAACCACTTATCCTGTGATTAGCAGCCACTGAGCTACCAGGGCTCCTTTTGGAAAAATTCCAGCCTAACCAACACAGTGAGGCAGTTCTGTTCCGTCCAACGGTGTCACTATGAGTCGGAATCAACGGCAGTGGGCGTTTGGGGTTTCTCCAGAACCAAAGACAACAAGTCAAAATCTCCAGATAAAATTCTTTCCTCTTCCCACAGGGCTAGCTGCCCACTGTGAACCCATATCTTCCTCATTAACTTCTTTAAACTCAAGAACTCCCTGATGTCTTTAGTTCCTAGAGCTACTATTAAGAGAGTTACCACAGGGGGCTGGTTTTAACAACCAGAAATGTCTTTTCTCACGGGTTAGGAGGCTAGCAGTTCAAACACAGAGCACTGGCTATGTTGGCTCCCCGGGAAGCTTTCTCTCTCTGTTAGCTCTGAGGAAACGTCCTTGTCTCCTCTCAGCCCCTGTAGTCCCAGCCTGCCTTGGAGAGTCCCATGGTGTCTTCCATCAGTCTTCCTCTGGATCTAGGAGCCTCACAGAGCAGGGATCCTGGGTCCAAAGGACATCCTCCACTCTGGCTCTTCTGTCTTAGGAGAAGTTCGATCCTCCTTCTCTGGGCACTTCTGTCTCCTTTTATCCTTGTAAAGTAAAATTTATTGCAGGCTGCACCTCTGGGAAACTCCCTTACATTGGACCAGGGTTGGGATGGGATTAGGGGTATTGCAGCTTATTCTTGGGAGTCCTGATGTGGCACTGTAGGATAAGCACTCGACTGCAAGGTCAGTTTGAACCACAAGGTTGGTGGTTCAAACTCACCATCTGCCTCTTAAAAACCCTATACGAGGTCACTATGAGTCAGAATCGACTCTATGGCATTTCACACAACAATAGGGTTTGCAGTGGCGGTTATCTTTCAGAAGTAGATTTCCAAGGTACCTCCCAGTGGTCTAGAACCAATAACCTTTCTTTGGTCAGCACCTGTGTGCCCAGGAATCCGTGTGAAGAGCTCACATTTACTGAGTCCTCCCAATGTAACAAGCTGCATTCTACCTCCTTCATCGTTCCTCAGTTCTAGTTCATCCTCACAACAACCTTATGAGGTAGTTTGTGTCATTATCCTTGCTCTATAAGCAATGAAACGGACACATAGCTGCACATGAAAGATAAAACTGACACACGATAAAAACTCAACCTGCAGTTACACATTGTGTGGGTAATGGAGATGGATTCAAAACTAAGGTGGTTGTATTCTAAAGACCTCAGTCTTTTATTATAGTAAATATATATATACAACCAGAAAAAGTTGCCATTTTAACCCTTTTGAAGTGTATACAATTCAGAGTCCTTAATTATATTCATCATAGTGTCCTGGTGTAGCGTTGTAGGGTAAGCACTGGACTGCTCACCTAAAGGTTAGCGATTAAAACTATGAGGTGCTTCTCAGAAACCCTCGAAATGGTCTCTATGAGTCGGAACTGATTCAATGACATTTAACAACTTAACAGCATGGTGTAACCATTATCTATTGCTGTTGGCTTAATTTCAACTTCTAGAAACCCTACAAGTCAGAGTAGAACTGCTCCATAGGGCTTCCAAGGCTGTAAATCTTTACAGAAGAACATCTTTCTCCCAATATGCTACTGGTTGGTTCGAACCACCAACCTTCTGGTTCGCAGCCAGTCATTTAACCACTGTGCCACTATCGTCCATATGCATTTCCACACTCCCAACAGAAACTCAGTGCTCATTTCTCTAGCCCATCAACCTCTAAATAAACTCTGGTTTCTACGCATTTGCCTATTCTAGATATTCTATGTAAATGGAATGATGAATATTGATCCTTTTGTGTCTGACTTATTTCATTTAGTATAATGGTTTCAAGGTCCAGGTCACATCACAGAATTGATCAGAAGTTCATTTCTTCTGATGGCAGAACACTATTCCATTGCATAGATAGATACATTTGGTATAGCCATAAATTCATTGGTGATACTGGGCTTCTTTCTACTTCTTGATGTTGTGATTAATATTGCAGTGAACTTTGGTGTACAAGCATCTGAGTCCTTGCTCTCAAGTCTTCTGGGTATATAACGAGGAGTGGAATTGCTGAGTACTATGGAGCTCTGGTAGTGTAGTGGTTACGAATTAGGCTGCGAACCTTAAGGTCAGCAGTTCGAAACTACCAGCCGCTCCACGGGAGAAAGATGAGGCTTTCTACTCCCGTAAAGATTTACACCCTCAGAAACCCTGTACAGGGTCGCTATGGGTCGGAACCGACTCGATGGCACTTAACAACAACAAATGGTAGTTTTAAAGGAGCTCTGGTAGCGTATTGGTTACAAATCGGGCTGCGAACTGCAAGGTCAGCAGTTCGAAACTACCAGCTGTTCCGCAAGAGAAAAATGAGGGTTCTGCTCCCATAAATATTTATAGCCTCGGAAACTCTGTCCAGGGTCACTATGAGTTGGAACCCACTGCACGGCACAGAACAACAACATGGTACTTTGATGCTGCCTTTCTTGAGACGTGACCAAAGTCTTTCCCAAGATCCCGTTCTTAATTATTGTGCTCTGTCACCTCATTGGTACTACCCACCCATCCACTGCCATTCAGTTGAGTCCCCCTCATAGTCACCCGGTAGGACAGAGCAGAACTGCTCCCTAGAGTTTCCAGGACTATAAATAGTTATACAAGCAAACAGCCTCATCTTCCTCCCACAGAGCAGCTGATGGGTTCGAACCACCAAACTTGGGGGTAGCAGCCCAATACTTAACCTGCAGTACCACCAGAAAATCATTTCTCATATACTTCTCATATACTTCAAAGGGACAGGAAGCCCCTTGCTGGAATGCCTAAGTCTTGTTCATCTAGCTTTAGTGACATCTTGGGTGACTAAGTGGGCGAGGAGATGAGACATGAAGATACAGAAAACCAATATGGTGCCTTCATCAACGTCTTTCTCTTCCCAAGGTTGAGAAAATGTCAACTAGAAGCTGGGGCTTGTCAGGAGATCTCATCGGTGCTCAGCAATAACCAGCATCTGATAGAATTAGACCTGACAGGCAACGCACTGGAGGATCAGGGTCTGAAGCTATTGTGTCAAGGTTTGAAACACCCCACGTGTCAGCTGCAGACTTTATGGTGAGTTGTTGTTGAGCTCTTCAATGGCAATGGTAAATGTCCTCATGTTGAGTGAGTTGTTGTTGTTAAGTGCCGTCGACTCGGTTCTGACCCACAGCGACCCTGTATAGGGTTTCCGAGGAGCAGTGGTGAGCTTGAATTGCCAACCTTGGAGTTCAAACGGCTTTGCAGTCTGGCGCATTAACCCACAGCGCCACACCAGGACTCCTGTTGAGTGAGTGGTAGTGTGAATATGTGGCTACAAAAACTCCTGTGGTTACTAGTGTTCAACACCCATCTCAAAGAGTTTGGAGACAAAAGTGAATGTATTGAGTTACACAGTATCACTGAAAAACATTTAGATGCCGAGTTGTCCCTAACTCATGCACACTTGGCTCAGAGCTTTTGTGCTCCAGAGGGTTTTTGGTTTTTAAAAAATGTTTGATTATGAATTGCATGTAGGTTTACAGAGTAGATAGTCAGTTTTACATTCAACAAATCTTACCCTTCACTTTATCTCAAAGACTGAGATGTAACATTGGTTATCCCACTTCCTCCCTGTGTTTTTTGTTCCACGAATTCTCCCACTCTATCTAGAACCTTCTAATGTGACTTCTTTCAGAGGAATTGGTAAGAGTAGCCAGGCACCATCTTAGTACCAGAGTCTAGAAACTGATGCTCCCATTAGTCCACTGGACTCAATGTTTCCATTTAAATCGTTGATATTTCCTTTGTACCGGGAGAGACCAATAGCCACACAATTCCACAGGATTTTCATTAACTGATTTTCAGATGTAGATCTCCAGATTTTTATTTCTCATCTGTCCTAGTCTGGAAGCTCTGCTAAACTCCACTTAGCATCACAGCAAAACATGCAGACCTTTGACAGATAGGTAGGTTGTAGCAGCTCATGAGATATATATGGCCGAGAATTGAACCAGATCTCTGAAAAAGTCACCCTGGAGAAACACCCAAGGTCACTGTGAGAGTATCCAGAATGTATGTCTTGAGTTTGAACATGTAACATCAGTACCATGCTTTAAGAAACGATCTGTGATACATGTTGACTTGGCTCCTGTGTAGGTTGAAGATTTGCCGCCTCACTGCTGGGGGCTGTGAAGACCTCTCCTCAGTTCTCAGCATGAACCAGAGCTTAAGGGAGCTGGACCTGAGCTTGAATGATCTGGGGGACCTTGGAGTGCTACTACTGTGTGAGGGTCTCAGACACCCCAAGTGCAAACTTCAGACCCTCCGGTGAGTCCCAGTTTATTTAACATTGGTTAGAGTTCAGATCCACAGTCTTTACCCTCCTCTCTGGGCACCCCAGGACCATGCTCCCACATGCCCTCTGTTACACTCCAGCCACATCAGTTTCCTTTCAAAAATTGTTCTGCCTCAGGACCTTTGCTATTTTCCCTGTATTTAGGGCATTGCAACATGCTGCTTGACATTTCCCCATTTCAAAATAGAAAAACTAATGTTATTTTAAAAATAACATTAAATAAAAATGCTACTGAAATGCCCTTTCACTATGCTGTCCCTTTGTTTGTTGTGGAAATATACAAAAGGTCTTCGAAAAGTTCATGATTCCATTGTCTTTTAATACCATTTACAGCAAACTCTTTGAAGCCCCCTCAGCACATCAAAACATTTGCTGATACAGGAAAGTCTACATTGGTGCATGCATTCTCGATATCCTTTCCCAAGATATTCCATCATGATTAACATAAATACAATGCCCTCCTCCCCAGGCAAAAAGTGACCTTTTCACTCTCCTTCCACCCAACTCCTATTATCTACTAATCATTTTGGTTTCTATATGAAGAGGTTTTAAAAAAATATTTGGAAAAATTCTGTTTGGTTTTTTCTCCCCAATTTCATTATCTTTTCATTCCACCAACTTCTTGAACATATTTGCTTATTTAATTTAAGTGAGATGATACAGTCAGTGTCCTTTTCAACTGACTTTTATTTAACTCAGCATGACACTTCCAACAGCCCATCTGCACTGTGACATTCTCATGTCTGGATGAAGACTGATGCCCTACTAGAAAACAAACCCAAAATTTAATTTTTAAAATAACATTAGTTTTTCAATTTTGAAATGGGGAAATGTCAAGCAGCATGTTGCAGTGCCCTAAATACAGGGAAAATAGTAAGAATTTTTCAGGATTTAGGAACAAAGGGTCTGTGCTAGGAGCTATATAGGAAAGGGAAAGGAAGCACCCTGAAAGTTACAAAAGAGTTTGTTAAACTAAAGGTTACAGATGTTCTTAACACCAGTAAGTTTATTTGCTTCATTCTGAGGTTGTTACACTGTGAAAGTTGTTTTAAAAGCCTCTGTCAGGGGTTCATTTCCTGTTAATTTGCAATCTACCTCTTTATCTTAATACACTTAGTTTCTACTTTAGTTGTAAGCGAGCAAAGTGTTTATAGAAACATTTATGAATGAAAATTTAATGCGGGTGTCAGGATGGCATCTAAGACTTGATATGTAAGGGGTCTTCAAAAAGTTCTGTTATCTTTCCAACCCATTTTCCAGTTCCGTTAACTTTTCATTCCATTTTCCAGTTCTGTTATCTTTTTATTCCATTTGGGTGGTTTGGGTGTATGCTTGCAAACTTTCCATTCAACAATTCACACATTTTAATTTGTTAGGTTTGTTTGATTGCAATCTCCACAATGAAACACTCTACCCACTTCATCCCTGTTTGCCATTTCCTTTCATCCTTCTCTCCTGTCCTCTCCTGCCTTCTAAGCTTTGTCCCGCGGCAAGTGATGCCCTTTCCATTTTGAATGGTTGGTTTGTCTAAGGTGTGGGTGTATGTCCCTGGTGTGAAAGCTGGGCCATGTAGCTGATTTCAGTTTAAGGATTAAAGGGAATCTACGGGTTCCACCTTCCTCTATCA